TTTTTGCTGGCTGTAGCAGCGCTATAGCGCTGCTATAGCGCTGCACAGCAAAAACGCATAAAAAGTTGAAAAAATTGAGTCTGAAACGAATTGTTGCATTGATTCAGTTTTTCGGAGCGGTGTTAGATTTGGCGGCCTTTAAGCCTTGCTTAAAAACTAGTGACCACAAACGGAAACTTACAAAATCGACTTTCGAGACGCGCCAAAGTTCGCCAATGCTCCTGCACGAATTCACAATAATATTTTTCATTGCAAAAATAATAATCACAGACAGAATACACTGCAATAACTTATAAGCACTCAGTTTGTTTGAGCAGTTCTATGCGATGTTCGTTCGTGTCACTCAGAAATATTCATATTCCGAAAATGCAGCCGATCCGGGTCATCTTGTCTTGCTTGAACTTTCTGCTCTCAGACTTTTGCGCGGTAAAAGTATTTCGCCTTTTTGCTACTCGTTCGTTTGGCCGCTCCTTTTGTCTAACTGATTTGGAAAGAAACAGTCTCTATAATGACCGTATATTTCTCAAAGTTACTTTTTATACTGATGGGAGCAAGGAGAAAATAATTGGCCAACGCATGGGCTGCCCGTCCGAAGATGCGTTTTTTGCAGAGTTCCCCGCAATTTTTGTTACTACCGGCATTGGTTTTTTTGGCAAATGCTTCTAGCTAAACAAATTAAGGCTGGTCGCCAGAACTGTCAGGGAACACCCCCTCAAAATTTCAGCTTTCTAGTTTTGCTGGCTCCTGAGTTAGCAACTTACTGAAAAAAAATTTTTACGGGCTCTTGCGTGTTTGCCACGCATACCTTAGTGCTGGGTTTGAGCTGAATGAAACTTGGGTGGACGGGATATATCTTCTTAAAAATACAGTCCTCCAGCTTCTCAGGTACTCGAGTTATCAGCTTACCCGAAAAAAAATTTTGACGGTCCCGTATGCAGGTACCACTCTTATTCGGGAGCTGGGTTTGAGCTCACTAATACCCGTTTGAACGGGGAACGCCACCTTAAGATTTCAGCTTTCTAGCTTCTCAGATCCCCGAGTTATGAGCTTACCCGAAAAAAATTTTGGCGGGCCCGTACGCGGGTATCACACTTACCCGGAGGCTGGGTTTGAGCTCATTGATATCTACTTGGACGGGGAACATCCCCTCTTCAGTGTTCTGGCATCTCAGAACCCAAAGTTATGAATTTACGCGGGAAAAAACTTGGCGGGCCCGTACGCGGGTACCACGCTTACCCGGGGGTTGTTTTTGAGCCCATTAGTACCTACTTGGACGGGGAACATTTTCATAAAATTTCAGCTCTCTAGCTTTTGTGGTTCGCGAGTTATCAACTTACCCGTAAAAAGATTTTGGCGGACTCGTACGCGGGTACGACGCGGGAAAGACCGCCCATTTTGGGGATGGGGGTCCGTACTGCATGTAGATCTAGCCCCCAAAGTTTCAGCCCTGTAGCTTCTGTGGGTCTCGAGATGAAAAATCGGTACAGACGCGCAGCGCACACACAGACACACACACAAACACACACACAGACAACCTCTCGTCAATATGCGTTTTTCGCATTGCATCTAAAAAAGACGCATAAAAACTAATAAGTAGCGACGCACGCAACTAAACCAGAGTTTTCTTGACAAGCTGCTGCAGCTGACAGTAGCGAGTGCATCAAAACACGGGGATCTATTTTGCCTCATCGCGATGATTTTTATGCGTCTTTGCATGTATGCAAACTGCGAAAACGCACATTGGGAAGAAGCTTATTAGTTTCTTTCTCGTTGCTGTGTGTTCGCACTTTTTATGCGTTTTTGCTGTGCAGCACTGTAGCGCTGCTACAATCAGCAAAACATATTATCGAGAGGTTGTCTGTGTGTGTGTGTGTATGTGTGTGTAGTGTGTGTGTGTTCGGAAAGCGAGTGCATTTTGTCACCCACTTTCAACTTAGCAACCAGGAAAGCTGGGAGGCTGAAAGTTGGAAACATGTTCCTACCCCGTGTGTCATCCTCCCGTACTAAGATCTTTTCCCATACGCGCCTAGACCCCGCCTACGGGACCCCCAAATAAACATGTTGGCGGAAAAAGATTTAGCAAACCAGGCGTCGTAGAAAGCTGAAACTTTGCAGGGATGTTCTCCATGCACGTGCGAGATAAAAATTTTAAGCTCAACTCTCTAGCTCCCCAACCACGGCCTCAAGCAGCTCCTCAACCCGAAAATTGTTAGCAACTCAGACCTGAACCGCAATTGTATATGCGGATGAACATGGATTTTTTTGAAAAATGACCGTTCGAACAATACTTTCAATTTCTAATGAACTGAAAATTAGCATATTTTCAAAAAAATCGTTCGCAGCTCGGACCTGAACCGCAACCCTATATGTAAATGAACGTGGATTTTTTGACAAACGACCGCTTGAGCAATACTTTCACTTTTTAGTGGACTCGAATTTTGCATTTTTTCAGAAAATTTGCATTTGTCATTTTTTCACAAAGCGAGCATTCACCGAAAAAACGACCGGACTTCATGCAAAAAACCGGTAATCATGCACCTGGATGTCCGTGCGGCTCCATTATGCACCACCTTCAACCTAATTGATGCCCTTCCTTCTGCATGCCGGTAAGGATCAAAGTACGGCCAATATTAGCCCAAGTGTTAGGTTACAGCATAGGGATCATTCCTGCTAAAGCGATCTGCAAGTTTAGTGCAAAAATGCATGGTCGCACCGAAGAGCCTAGTGCGTTCCAGCCTGGGTTCTCTCCTTCCTGTGTGTTCGCACTTTTTCTCACCCACTTTCAATTCGAGAACCAGAAAAGCTAGAAGGCTGAAACTTTGAGAGTATGTGTCCATACCATGCGCTATCCTTCCTTTTTAATATTATCCTCTGTGGATGCCTGGGTGCCGCGTACGGACGTTTTAAAAAAATACACAAATTTTCTGGCGGGAAAGTGATCTCGGGGACCAGACAAGCTGAGGGACTGAAACTTTCCGTGTGTACGTGTTAGCTAAAGATTTCAAATTCAGCCCCCAGTTATGCGTGATACTCACGTAAGGGCGTATGAAAATTTTAGCGAGAAAATTGCTAAGTCAGGAACCAGGAAAGCCTGTGAGCTGAAATTTTGGAGGAATGTCCCATGTCCAAGTACAGCTTAAATATTTCAAATCCAGCCATTAGGTATGCGTGGTTCTTAGGTACGGGCACTTAAAAATTTTGGCGGAAAAATTTCTCACTGAACGGCTAGCTTAATTTTAAAGACGATCGTTAAATGGAAATTGTACATTTACTTTATGCAAGATTTATGCTGACTTATGCTAATGACCGCAAAAGGTAGCTGTAAAGCAACAACCATTCATGTAATTAATGACCTGAGTACTTCAAGTCCGGTGCAAAAACGCATGATCACACAGGTCCGCCCCGGTGCGTCCCAGCTTGGGTTTGTCCTAAGTATGGAGGCAAGCTGTAGCCAGTACACTGCAGTTTTAGAACCGTTTATGAATGAATTTCGTAAAAACATTTCAGGATCAAATTTCAGGGCAAAATAAGCGGCTTACAAAGTCTCAACAGCCAATGTATTTGTGGTCAAGAATGTGGCAACTTCTTCAAGAGATTTCTACCCCAAAAGATTTTTCGCATTCAATGGTGTAAGCCCCGGGAAAAACCGCTGTTGTAGAAATGGTGTACTGCACAGACTCTAACAGTCAGGCATTATACGATATGTATGGGAATGCTATATAGTGCATAGCAATCTCGTCGAGCACAAAGACTTGTAGTGTAGTGGCGAGTTTAAATGTAAAGACGATTATTTCGATCTCTCCCGGTCCATATTCATTTTCAGAAAGGGCTTCGTCCGCGAGACATAAGCAATGAGTGTCAGTAGTCAATACGGTTGGCAATTGCAGTTGAGTAGTAACTGTACATCAGAAAATCAGTTTAGCCCTACTGCTTCTAATGTATGAGAGCATCCCGAAAATTAAGGGTCGACATAGAAAGCTCAGTTGTGATGACTATATGTCTAGACATTGCATTCTAGGTGATGATTTACTTACATGTTTCTTGAGGGGAGAGTTTCCGAAATTTCGTCGGAAACAACGTGAAACTGGTATTTTTGGGCAACATTTGAAAAACATTCACAAATTTAAACAGTAATAAGTTGTGAATGATGCACAGAACTGACATAAAACATGAACACTTACACGGGAACAAAAGGTGGCACCTGGCTTTCGCCTCGATTTGTTCCCCTAACTGCGTTTTCGGCCCCTGATAACACTGCTGGTGGCAAAAGTGGTGGTTGTAGCCACATAAGATTAAACGACAGCATTTTCGCCAGACGTCCAGCGTTGCTGGCTCGCCGCAATGGAAGAAAATGCAACCTACCATTGGTAATGTGCGAAGCAGTGGTCCCAAAAATAAAATAACTGTGAGCACTGTTAAACTTGCGAAGAGCGACGACAGCTAAAAATTAGGTGAATTACTTGAACATTTTAAAAACGCAGAAAATGCCTACATTTTATTAACATTAAGCACCTGCGTCCTCGCGCCGCTTTGTTCGCCTACTGAAGAGCGGGCCAGTCCGGCTGATGACGGGTAGGTGTAGAAAAAGGAAGAGATGACTGCAGTTAAACCAATTGCATAGAGTTCCTGAAAAAATTAAGCAGATGAGATTGCGCGCAACCAGCCTGTTGCAGCAATACATAGTTGCACCATTTTTCATGCATGACAATCTGTCATAGCCTGCGGCAATACACACGTGATTTTTAGGCTTGTATCTTTTATTTTTGAAGGTATAGTATCATATAAGGTTGAACCAAGCAAAAAGACACATTGAATTATTTCTTCGTCGTCCACTACAGCGAATTTATACACCTAAAACTTTAAACTCATAGTTTCTAGTAGTTACGGAATATGACGTCAGCCGGAATCAGACCGTAGGTCAGAGCACAACGAATGCGTGAGAAGCTTGACCTTAGCTAAACGCTGAAGATTTCGAATTCATGGTTCCATGCAAAATCAAAAGATGTGTTATTAATATTTATTTCTCAGAGTTTACAAGTTTTAGAGTGAAATTACTTGAAAAGACACATCCTTTAATTTGTGTGCAAAAAAGCTGAGAAACTGCCCCTGTCAAAGACTACCTGGACTAATTCTCAGTGGTCATTTGCATTTGATTTTACTGTAAAATCAGAGTCCCAACCACAGATGTAAAATGCGTGCAGAGGACTTTTTTTTTTAAATTGCGTTTCGGTAGCAAATTTTGGTGCTAGTCTTTTAAAACATTTTAATTTTATGCGCTACATTCAAGACAAAACGAAGAATCACACAGCTAATCAAGCTAAATCGAACATTCTACAGCTCAGCGACAAATGTAAAACCTACTTGATTGTTATCCACTTTGTACTGGTGTCGCCTACTGAACATCTTACACAGTGACAAGTGCACCGCCATCACAACAATTGCTATAACTACTGCGTCTTCATACATGTACGGGAATAGCTCCACACGCGGTAAGTCGATTTTATCAAATCTGAAAAGTGAATTCTTAAAAAAGCAAGCTGTACGTATTCGAGTAATTTACCAAGACATCTGCGCTCAATAACTGCGCTGGTTCGTTGATGCATCCCAGCGACATCACTTGTATTCAGTACCCGTGATTGCTTGTACTGACGATTTTGGTAAGCATTCAGATTGGCAGTCTTCATAAACAGATTACTAGAAAACGAATCTTTTGCGTTCAAAAGATCATCTTTATGTGTGTGGTGCGCAAATATATCAGTGTAACGGCTTACCCTACGGGAATTTCGCCGATGACTTGAAGACCATAGAGTTTTTCAAGCTCCAAATGTGACGATGCTGCTGTTGCCGCGCAAACCAGAAGGAGCTCAAACGGAAATGGAGCTGGTAAAAATTTTTGAAAAGTTGGATTGATGTAATCCTTGCCTAAACGTAGCTAAAAAATTAACTTTTGATAAATACAAAAACTGCTCAGATTTCTTCAAATAACTAATGACATGTATAAAAAAATGATTACACTTTTTTTCCATCAACTGTTTCTTGGTTACTTGGGTCAGCTGCATACTGTGTAGTTCTCCAGCCACACAGCTGGAAGATTTTCCAATTACTTTAGCCAGCCCTGTAGCACCTCGTGGTGAGCTCGATGTTCGCTTCGTCCCCGGAAGGAATATCCAGTTTGACAGCCTCCCCGACAGAGACACTTCACGCGGCTAATCATTTTGAAATGTCTTTAATGTACGTTAAACATCACCAACTCGACTCGAACGTTGCCACTCCCAGGCCACAAAGTACTTTACCAACTACCAGCTGCTATGGGAAAAAGATGATAAGTGCGGCATCACCTAAATAAGAAGCTGATACTGACACTGGTGATCAATTGTTCCTCCTATTTCAAGTATTACAGAATTTCCAGATCTTGAACTACGGTTGCAGAGGATAACGAAAAAGTATTAGGTTTTGACCTGGATATGTCATAGTTCCTCAAAGCAGCGTTTCGATTAATATTTTGTGATATTAATAATTCCGGCCTGAATCTAGCAAAATCACCAAAGTAAACTCGCCCGTCAGCTCTATGACTAAGCTGATCACTAGCACTGTGCCAGAATCTGGTCAGGTATGAAGATCAGGCTGATACTTCGAAATCCGTCTGTATACTGATCAAGCGTCTGGACAGGCAAGACCGGAGTTTTGCCGCACTTGTGGGTTATAAAAGATCTCGGACTTTTAGGATTTTTATTGTTGTTCACTATGGTCATCGTATTGACGCTTTTCCGCGAAGGTCCGAATGCCGCTGATTTGGAAGAGAAAAACAAGGACCTTGTGCAGTGAGCTACATGGACTGCCGGATCGCCTAGGAAGTAGCGTAAGCTAAAAGGTACCCCTTTTCCTCTTTTACTCAGCCTTGCAACAGAATTTATACTATCGTCCGCTGTGGGACATTATTTGGCCAGCAAGGATAAAATTTTAGAACAGTTTTAATAGCGCCGCTGCGCAGCATCTTTTGCAGCACCAGCCTCGCCGAGGCCAGTGAATGCAAAGTACGCGCAAAACCAACGTTGATCATGGACCAGTCCTCTACAGCTTCTGAGCGTGAAATCCACGGCCCTAGTCAGAGTGGAGTTTTCGGTCTCATTAAAAAGTAGAAGCGTCCAAGCATGGCTGTGCCACAGCATTTCATAGGAGCTAGTTACCCTTCACTGCCGAAAAGCACCACGAGCTCGTGTGATTTCTTTTGTGGTCTTACAGTACACCGCGACTACCAGTCAGGGGTAGGCGGAATCAGCTAACTGCCAGCAAAATGAGTAACGTGTTGCTAAATTCCGTTCCGTTTGCAGTGGTAATTATTTTTTATGAGCTGACCAACCAATGTAAAGGAAGAAAAAACCAATAATCGACGAAGTTAGCGCAACAGTGTTTGCTTCCGGTATTTTGCGAGCAATATCTATCGCTTGCTGAAATTTTTAGGCAAGAAATTGAAGAAAATAAAAGAAAACTGACCATCAGGTTGTTTCAGCCAATTTTAATGTTTTTTATGCGTTTTTGCCGTGCAGCGCTAGGGCGCTGCAACAGGCAGCAAAAACGCATATTGCAACGACCCTGTCAGTGTGTGTATGTGTGTGTGTATGTTTGTGTGTGTGTGTGTGTTCGTCTGTCCGGGTACTTCAACTCGCCAACCAAGCAAGCTTTCAGGCTGAAATTTTGTCAGTGTGTTCCCCAGCCAGGTACC